GTTTCATTTTTATAAAAACATTTTTATATAAAATTAGTTATTAAAATTTAATGGATACTGTCTTTTAAAATCACCTGTAACAATTTGATCACCCAGAGATACATCCAGTGCTGTCTCTATGTATCTTTTCAGTTTTGGGATGTTATAAACAGTATAGTTAGGCACATAAGCATTTTTTTTGCCAAAGTGGAATCATACCATTAAATTTCCTTCTCTATTAGGCCTGTTCAAACTTTACAGCCAAATAGAGTCAGAGGAAGTTGAATCTACACCTGAGGATGGACTTTTGTAGTAAAGAACTACATGCTGCCCAAGGACAGGTCTGGTTTTCGCTCTAAGCTGCGGGGAGGGAACTTCTAAGCTCCTGGAATGTGCTGCCTGGTAAGAGAGTCTTTGTTTACCTGAGAGCCTTGGGCTCCACCAGATGGTCTGCCAATGTGATTGATGGTGGGGACCTGGTCACGTTGTAGCAGAGGGAAAGGCCTGAAAAGGGGTAAAATGTTTTCTGAATTGTCTCTTTAACTCCATCCACTGTTTTGGGGAATTAAAACCTACATGAAAACCTTGGCAATCGTGCCAAGCTGAAAACTCCTTTCAAAAGCTCTGCATTTCTGTTGTTAGATAGAACAATGGTACCATAAGACGAGCGTCTACTGTTCTCCTTACTTGATGGCAAATTATAAACTTCTCTTTCCTTTTCCTCAAAACACTTGTCCTCGTTCCTCTGGTGTGGACTCAGGGACAAGTGCTGAACTTTCAGTAACAACATCGTGTCAACTCCATCGCTTCTGGGCTGGTGACAAAGGCCAGCCATGGGACAGTCACCCACGTCTATGTGAAAAGAACAATGTGAATCCTGGACACCAGGGCTCCGGGGGTTACCCTGGTTGGCAATAGTCTACACATGTCATCACACAGCAGAGTCAGGAGGAGGTGACGCTGTCTGTGGTCCCCCTGGGAAAGGACAGCTGGGAACTCCCCATTTGGAATCCCCTGGACTCTGCTCCGTGCTCTTCTTCCATGGGCTGACTTTAATCTGTATCCTTTTGCTGGGACAATCCATAAGACCAGGATAACAACATTCAGTGAGTTCTGTTAGTTCTCCTGGAGAACTCTCAAAAGTAAGGGTGGTCTTGTTGTTCTAATGGTTTCAAAGTTCTAATAATCACAGGTGGAACAAAGAACTGTCAAGAGACAAAACACCTTTTGAAAAAAAACATCAATATTTACAAACATGGTTACTTAAAGTCCCATAAACATTTTAAGCTGCTTTCATAAATTGTTCAGAAACACTTCAATTGCATGAGCTAACCACACAATTTTCCCAGGTATTTAAATTCCTTTGTTAATATAATTAATTAAATATATCAATACAGGGACTCAGGTTCTCAACTTCTTGTTATTGTTTACTCACTTAACAAGACTCTCTCATACCACTCAACAGAATCTACAAGTGCCTAATGGCTAGTTCCATTTCATGTTGTAAGTTGTATTCATAAGGCTAATTTGTCTCTCATGTGCCACGTTCTTCTAAACACCGATATTAGTTTCCTATTGCTGCTGTAACAAATGGCCCCAGCCTCAGTGACTTCCAATAACACAATGTATTATCTTTGAATTCTAGAGGCCGGGAGTCTAAAACGAATCTCATGGGGCTCAAATCAACGTGTTGGCAGTTAGTTCCTTCTGGAGGTTCCAGGGAGGACCCATGTCCTTGTCTTTCCAAGCTTCTAGGGCCTCTTACATTTCTTGGCTGTGGCCCTGCCTTCATCTCCAAGTTGCCTCACTCCAAACTTTGTCTCTGTCATTATTTCTAATTCTCTGTCTCTGACTGTCCTGCCTCCCTCTTTCACTTACAAGGACCGTAGTGGATACACCCAGCTCTAACTGAAGTCCCTGGGTTCTTTCAACCACCAGGGTGGAAATCAAGAGAGATCACCAGGCATAGCAGCAAGAAAAAAGTTTATTTAGCTTGTGCACCAGGAAGCAAGCACTGAAAAAGGAAAATTTCAGGCTGCTCCCTGAATGAGGGTAGTGAGGGGATTGGTTTTATCAGACTTTTCTATAGGGAAGGGTTATGTCAAATCACATAGAGGAGGGTGTTTCTAGTGCCTGCACGGTAGCTTCACATACTTCTTCATGCACTGTGGGCAGCGGTGGCACTTCAAATCTTACCCATGAATGCGATTTTCACTATTAAAATGCAGAA